ATAACAATGAAGCAAAACTGAAGGAACAAAATGACAGCAGACTCAGAGACTCGCAAGAATGAACTAGTGGTTACCAAAGGGGAGGGGTGTGGGGGGGCGGGTGGGGAGGGAGGGAGAAGGGGACTGAGGGGTATTATGTTTAGTACACATGGTGTGGGGGGATCATGGGGAGAACAGTGTAGCCCAGAGAAGGCACAAAGTGGATCTGTAGCATCTTGCTGCACTGATGGACAGTGACTGCATTGGGGAATGGGTGGGGACTTGATAATATGGGTAAATGTAGTAACCACATTGTTTTTCATGTGAAACCTTCATAAGAGTGCATATCAATCATACCTTAATAAAAAAATAAACAAAGAAAAAAGCCTTGCTGAGTTACAAAATCAAGATCTAAGGCCCAACTTCCTTTCACTTTCTTTCCACAGACAGGTTGTAGAAACATCCTGAAATCATGAGACGCCTTTGTAACACAGATGGAAGTGTTCTTCTGCCAGTAGCTGCTGTAGGGTCCCGAATGGCGGATTCTTTGTTTCTCTGTCCCTTCTCCTCCAGCTCCAACCACTGAGCTGTCAGCCACTTGGTGTCCAGTTCGAATGCAGTCCTTAAATTGGGGCAGGATGAATTCTGCTGGTTGAGCTCAGTCATAGAGTTCGAGCGACTGATGGGAGGGTCTGAAGTACTGGCGCTTTCCACCGCCTGTCCTGCATAAGCGTGAGGCGGCAGGGCTGCAGGCTTTAGCAGCTGGCATGCCTGTGCACTGCAGCACCTGGGTTCCAGAACACGGCAGGATTTGTGCCAGGAGACACAGGCTGAGCAGACAGGGAGGCTGCTGGAGCCATCTGGCAGACCTGTGTTGGCAGCCAGGTGGTTGGGGGCTGGCCCTTCTGCCCAGGCCACCATCCTGGGTGCCCAGGTGAAACTCCTCTGTGGTTCTTCAGGCAGCATGACCTCCCGGGGTCATGCCCAGTTTGGGGCCTTATATGAGTTTAGAGCATTTTGAGTGTCGGGGTGAGCTCTTCTTCCAGTTCACCTCACAGCCACTGGCTGAGGCACAAGCTAGCCCAGGAGCACTGGCTTCAGGCCCTTTCCAACAACCTCAACTCCAAAGACCCACCTGGTTGCCCCTTTCTGACCAGGTGAATATCACCAGGGGCTGTTTTCTAAAACCAACCCAAACACAACATTTCGGTTATACCTTTTCTGAGGATTATGGGCCCCATCAGCCTTTCACCTCATAACCAAGGGGAACCACTGAAGTGTATAAATCTCGGCAGAACTACAAAGGCCTGCTGCTTGGTGATCTCTACTCTTGCCTATGTGATGAAGCAGCGGCTAGTATCTTTCAGTGAGGAAGGGGGGGAAGTTCCTCTCTGAAGGCACCTTTCATAACTCTTCCATTACTTATATTTTGTCAGCCCTCTCATTTTACAAATGAAGAAACTGAGGCTCAAAGGGAGCAAATGATTTGCCCTGATCACGTGGCCCATTCTTTCCTCTGCATTCTGCTCTTGATCGGTTTCTCTCCCAGTTTGAAAAGACCTCCCAGAGGCCTTTCTTCATCCCACACTGAGCCCTGTCTTGGGCTTCTTCCTACACAGTTGGCATTTGGGGAAGAATATCCAGCCATTTGGCAATTCAGGATTTCCAAGCAGCAACTTTTCGCTTCATTTCAACATATCTCCAGGGAAGATATTTTGGCCTCTGCATTTTGGAACTAGCTTCAAAGTCCTGTGACCCTGGGAAGTGGGAACCAGGCTGCAGTGGCCCGGCAGTGCCTGCTTCAGACATGAGGTTACAGGCAAACAGAGCTAGCAGGTTTCTGTGTAATGACAGAGGTCAGGCAAATATTCTATGCCCAAGACCTTTAATTTTCTATCACCTCTGTTTATCCCTAGTTGACGATGATTTATTTAAAGAACCAGCAAGAAAAAGACGCCGATCAGATCGAGAGCAGCGCTTCCGAGGCTTTCCCTCCGTGGAACGAAGTGCCCTTAAGGAGTGTGAGTCTCATGAAACTACCCTGGAGCTTGTTTTAACGTGGCTCTGTTAAAAGGGTCAAAGGAAGACAAAGTTAAAACGGGAAGTGGGATCAAACAAGAGGCCTCAGATCTCAGCTCGTATGCAGAGATATACAATTTGACAATTTATCTTGAGGAGTGTCTGGGTAGGAGGGCTGTTACCAAAGAACCTCTTCTTGATCAGAACAGAGTGTGCAATGGTTGGTTTGATGCTTTAGTGGCTATTCATATAATGCCCTTGCATTTTTTTTTCTTTCTATGACCACAGGAGAGAAGAGTCTAGAAGGGGTAAAGCCCGTGGCAAAACATATGCTGACTTTTGTTCCAAGAAATCTCAGAACTGGCTGTCCCCTTGGGAGGTTCTCACACTCAATGATTGCTCACTCCCGAGAGCTGCTATCCCTGGTGTCAGATAACTTGCTATCATGTGTAACTGGCTTTTCATTTCATTTCTTTTTCTCTCTCTGTAATGTTGAGCAGACCCCACTTGTGGAGACCTAGTACTTGATCTCTGCCAGGCACATCCCAGGTAATGCATTTCTGTTGTTTCCAGATGAAAAACTGGAGTCAAGAACCAGAAGGGTTTTGAGCAACACTTACCAGAAACTTATTCAGTCTGTCTTTCTGGATGACAGTATCCCTAACGGAGTCAAGTATCTCATGTGAGTGTGATATCAGCTACCGGCAAATCTTACTTACTTCAAGTCTTACTCTCTTTAGGTGATTGTAGAGTTTTTTCTCCAAACACAAAACGGAATTTCCTGTTAGAAACTAAGGAAAGAAGGCTGAAAATTTCTATAGCTATGGGCCATTATTATTGTTACTGATAGTTGCTGTTCACTGAGCCGTCATTGCTGCAGGTAATCTGCTAAATACATACATCAAATTTCGTTTAATTGTCCCACTGTCCCTATAAAGTAGGAGCTATTTTTATCATATCCCTATTTTACTGAAACAGACTGCAAGGGACCAAGACATTGACCAGAGTCACACTATTAGTATGTGAAAGGGTCCAGAATCCAACCCAGGCTGAATGACTCTGCACCTGTGCCCAAGGCTGCTCATGCTGAGCTGACCTGAAGGCTCGATTGGTGCTGGGCTTGCGTGTCCAGCTCAGTAAGACTCTGTGTTGCTCCTAATAATACCTCACCTCTGCATAAAGTTTGTTTCTAGGGTCGAGACAGTGTAATTTCTGTATAACACAAACAAGGATGTTTCACATCGAAATAGTCCTTATGGAGTTGGTGTAGAATTAACATTACCTAGTATTTTTGCTTACTCTCATTTGATCCCCATGACAACTCTGAAGTAAACAGGGATTAATATACTCCCCCTTGACCAAAGAGAGAGCAGAGCCTCAGACAGAGGTAGTGGCTTTCCCAGGATTAGAACTCAGTTCCTTCTTCCTGCTATGCTTTGATGACCATGACAATGTGCATTTAAAAATGGATCTAGAAACAGGCTGCTTGCTTTGATTGAAAAACCGCCATTGGACCCAATCTACATTGGATTATTTGGAAGCACTGGGGCTGGGAAAAGCTCCTTGATCAACGCCATCATCCAGCAAGCAATGTTTCTACCAGTGTCTGGAGAAAGTATATGTACCTCATGTATCGTGCAAGTGAGCTCCGGTTGCTGTGAGCGGTATGAGGCCAAAATCCACCTTCTTTCTGACCAGGTAAGTGCACGTCTTTCCTTCCTTCCTCCCCACTTTCCTCTCTGTTTTCCTACCTCTCTCCCACCTTTCATTCCCCTTCCCGCTCTTTCTACCTTCTTTCCTTCTCTCTCTCTTAGAGATCAACATTATAGTCCTTGTAAGTATAACTCATGCCTTTGTTGAATGAAAAGAACACAGCACAGAATGAGAAAGTCCAACAGAGTGAGAGGGGGTTCTAGCCTGCATCCTGTCACAGCTTGCATGGGGCCTTATTTCCCTCTCTGTGCCTCTGTTTCCTCATTGACGTCCAGGGGAGTTGGATTAGATGACCCCGTGCCAGATCAGATGGTTCTAGACTTCCTGACCACACAGCCGGCTGCCCTCCACAGGTCGTGGACTCCCCCTTGGCCCCTGTTCCGTATGTGTGTCATGAGGGGCTTGGGCCTGCTCTGCCTTGACAGGAATGGAAGGAGGAGCTGAAGAACTTGACTGAACTCCTGCGTGGGATAGAGGAGCTGGGCAGAGAAGAGGTGGACGCGTGGGCCCCAGGAGACGCAGTGGAGGAGGCTGTCTGGAAGCTACAGATGCTTTATGGCCCCGGGGCAGAAAGGAAGACTTACGAGGAGCTGCTGAGGGCGAAGCCCAAAGGGAAGGTCCCCGCGTCCAGGACCATCACCCTCAAGGCAGAAGAGGTAACTGCAAGAATTTTTTTCTTTACTTTATCATGAGTCTCAAGTATAATTATTAAATCCATGTAGGGGGTTTGCTCAAAGTACAGTGTTGTTATTGGCAATAAGTTGATACCAAAATCGGAAGTGTCCATGACCAAGTTATTTTTCGTCATTTATGGCTGTCAGATGGGAATTTGTAGAGTGTGGATGGGGGAGCTTAAGGCCCAGGAAAGACTGGTTACAGTTACTTGAGGATCAGTTAAGGATGCTTTGCCTGCAAATGATTAAAAAAAAAAACCCCAAATACCAACCCAACTTAGAATGGCTTAAACAAATAGGGGTTTATTCTTTTCTTCCTATAAGTGTCTGCAGGCAGTTGGGTTTGTGGGTTGGTTCAGTGGCTCAACAAAGTCAAGATGCACGTGTCTCTGGCTCTCTTGGCTTCTGTCTCCCTTGTCACCCAATGGTCATGGTTGCTATGGTTGTGCTAGACTTCACGTGTGGCTTCATGGGAGGAAGAATGGGTGAGAGGGTGGCACCAGGCCCGCTTCCCCAGAAAGACCCCCAGCACATTTGTGTGTGGAGTTTCTTGCTCACAACCGAGTTGCAGGGTCTAGAGAAAGAAAGAAGCAGCTTGTCGTGATTGGCTGAGACCAGCCTCAGTCCACCGCTCAACCCGGGTTTTGCTAACAAGGATGAAGGACAGCCTAGATATCATATATGCAGCTAGTATAACAATGATTTCCTCACTTTTATAATCAGTTTCCATTTTATTAAATTTCAGTTTTAAATTAGAGCAAAATACTTGTGGAACTAATACATAATTTAAAAAAGTTGTACATTTAAAAAACTGCATTTTCTTGTACCTTAAAATTCATCTTTAAATTATCATTATTTGATTTTTAAATCTGGCATTTTTGTATAAAACATAACAATTAATTAGACTTCTAAAATTTAAATGTTCGATGATTTCCTAATTTAAACATGGCAAATTCTCCTTACATAGTTAACACTACTCACATAATTAATCAGGCTGTTTTATATTATAGTTCAAAGTTAATGTATTCGGTTATCTCCAAAAATTTTAAATACTTGACCTGGGAAACTTAGAAGTCAAAGAAATAAAACCTTTTAAGACACTTAGCTCTTGAATATCTAGGAAATCAAACTAATGTCATAGCCATTTCTTTTACTTAAGTGGATATTACTATTAAAAATGGTTATGTTCCTAATACCTAAAACATAGGCTGAACATAATGATTACAAAACTGGTTACTTTATCTGAACACACGCAACTCACTAAGGCATCAACATAATATTCATTTATTCACTCCTCTGTACTTAGAAATATTCCTTCCCAGTATTACAAACTTTCCCACTGAAACAAGGGGAGCAGGGCTACCATCTCAGCGGGTGGGGGCACAGATCAGAGTCTGGGTCAGGGATTCTAGTCTGGGACAAGGGAATTTGAGTTCACTTCCTGGAATAGTTTTCCCTGAGCCGGTTTATTGAGTTGAGCCCTCTTTTTATAGCAAGGAACTTTTTAAGCCATGCTTTTCTTTCTCATTGCCCTTATTGTATCTGCTTTATTTTTTAAATTAAAATATCTTAAAGGACTTTGATCTTCCTCTTCACAATTCCTTGTTATTTTATTAGAATTGAGGAAATCATCCTTCCCCAGATGGCAGCAAATCTTTTGATTTAATCTGAACTCTCTTAAGAATTGTCTTTTTTATATTTCTTTCTGGACCATTCTATAGAATGTATTTATTAACAATTCAGGACCATTCATTTTTTTAACAGTGACCACTGTACATCCCAAATCTCCTTCCCCTGAAGTATCCTGGTAGAGATTTGCTGCCATACATAGCTGCTGGCATCAATGTGTCATTGTTGGAAGATATATTTAGGTGGGAGCAATGGGCAGAGAGCAGTTCATGTGTCCTACCCACCACATTAAAACATCTTGGAAATGCCTCCATGTCAAGATATTTTTTGTATTTGGAAGATAAGTTTTAAAAGCCCTTTAAGAGATCAATTTCAGATAAATTTTCATTTTGGAAACTGGTCACCATATCACTATCGACTTTCTATAGTCAGGGCTTGCTGGTACTTAGAATGTTCATATTAGCCATGTAGGAAGAGTCCTCTCTCCAAAATTTAGAGAATTGCGTATTAATTACATTAATTTTAGGATTGAAATGGCATTTGGAAGGTAAAATAATCATCAGGGAAATCTATAACCTTGCTGAAGTCCCCTTCTAACTATGGCTTCTTCGTCTGTAAGTTAAGGAGCTTTAACTATTTGTCCTGCAGGGTCCTCTCTGGCTGCCAGGGTCTGGGCCCTTATACACCGGAACCCAGGCCTCCCAGTGCCCAGTGCCCACCGCTGTTTTTGTCATTGCTCTGAGGAGCCTGACTCTCAGCCAATCCAGGACAGAGGAGCTGGGCGTGTGTGACTTTGTCCTCCTTCCTCAGGCAAGGGAGCTGTCTGTCAAGCTGGACCCCTACATCAGGACCCAGAGGAGAGACTGGGATGGAGAGGCGGCTGAGACACACATCTGGCCCTTGATCAAACAGGTGGAAGTGACTCTTCCCAAGTCAGAGCTGATTCCAGAAGGGGTTGTGCTGGTGGACATTCCGGGCACAGGCGACTTCAACAGCAAGCGAGATGAGATGTGGAAAAAGGTGATTCTCTGTCGTCTGGCTTCACTCCCTCTTCCCACAACTCCTCCAGTCTTTCTAAATCAACAAAGAATGTTCTGCTTGCAGCTTAGGGATTTTATGAGCTCACTGGAGTTCAAAATCTGCTTACTATGTTCTAAGCCTCAGGACAACGGCAGGCGATGGGTTGGCAAAGAAACCAAGGAGGAAGGAATCATGAGGTCTGGTAGCTGGAATAAAAGTAAGCAAAGGAAATAAGGACAGAGTGGGAGGCAGAGGCCAAGAGCTGGGGACAAAGTAGAGCAGTTGACAACCAAGTACTATGGGAACAGGAGGCTGCTGCCATGTCTGGGTGTAAGGAACAGAACTCCTCTACAGCAGTCCCACATCAGGAAGGTAAATCAAAAGAACATCAAAGGATCTCATGAGACACAGGCAGGCCTCAGGGCCACCTGTCGGGATGGAAGCAGCTGATCTCACTTGTCCTCTGCGTGGTCTCCTGTGACTGCTTCTCCTTGTGCATTTCTCTGCGGGGTTCTGCTTCGCTCTTAGCTTTGCCCACCTAGCCACTAGGATACCCAGTGTGGAACGGGAGCACCCTAGCCCTGTCTCTGAATGACACTGTAGTTCATGTACCCATGAGTGACTATAGTCTCTATGTGCTTTAGTTCAAATTCCTAAGAAGGAACATGTGGTCAATAACTGCCCAGCTAATGGATTAAGCATCCATCCCTATTGCAATCAGCTGCGGTTGAAATGAATGTCCACCCACTTCAGCCAAGATTTTGGGTAGGGGTTCAATTCCCAGCAAATGAGGTATGAGCTGACCAGGCTTCCTCAGATGTGTCAACAGCCAGATAATTAAGCATTTAAGGTAGTTTGATCTATATCTGATGAATAGAGATTGAAGTATTTTAAGAACCGATTTTGTTTGTTCATTTGCTTTTATTCATCAAACATGTATTCTATGTGAGACAATGTACTAAGAATTGGGGATGCAAAGATTATGGCTAATAACAATAGCAGGCATTTCCTAAGCATTTATTTTGTGCCAGGTACTATTCTCAGTGAAGTAAGTTGCCTGTTACAAGACTGGGGATTTTAACACAGGCAAGATGGATTGAGAACCTCTCTGCTCTTAACTCCTAAGGTACTCTTGACAAAACTAGATGAAAAGTGAACAGAAAGTTGCAGAGCATGACCTCTAATGTTAAGAAGCATGTGTGTATGTGTAATATTTGTAAATGCACAGCAAAAGCAAGATCCTGCCTTCTGGAAGGATACATACCCAGCTATTAACAATGGTTTCCGTGTTCATTACCTCCCTTTATTGCACATACGTCTGTATTGCTTGTATATTTTGCATGCATCTGCATAACCTTTACTAAAAAGCCAAAAGCAAGATAAAGCAATGTTGAATGAGAAGCAGAGCCTTCCACCAGGGGCTTAGAGTCTGATAGGAGAGATAGAACATAAAGATGAGTAAATACATGGCAGGAAATGATATGAGAAATCCAAGGTGCTATGAATACTCAAGAGCTGAGTTACCTCCAGCCATAGATCTCATTCCTTCAACAAACACCCTCTGAGCATACACTTAATTTTGTAGTAGGTTCTAGATGGATGGGGACAAAGTCCTTGCCCTTGGGAGTCTTGTAGTCCAGAAGGGAATCAATTAGTCAGGCTAATTGACAAACCATATTACTTAAAAATAAGAACAACAAACCGTATTACTTAAAACTGTTATTACTTAAAAAAATGATGGATTCCTCTTGAAAATGAGTAAGGCTTCAGAAAGGACAAGCGCTCAGCCACCTCCAGGTAGAGAAGGTGGCTGGGAGCTGGATGAATGAGCAGCATCTCAGCCTAGAGCAGCATTAGGAAGACCCAGGGGGCTGAGCGAGCTGGTGTTGGGGTAGGATGGGTCTTCCTGGGTGGTTGGAGGGAAGGGGCCAGGGTGTGGAGGAGAGAGGCGCAGAAGACAGGCCTGGAGGAGTTGGGGCTGGGCTTCAATACACTTCCTGGGACGCTCCAAGGACCAGAGCTAGTGGGGCAAGTGACAGAGAAAGAAGGTATCTTTAGGCAGAAGGAACTCAGGAACCCAGGGTGGGAGTGGGGGTGGCGTGGGACCAAGCTGGCAGGGCGTGGGAGGGAGGGAGGGCCAGAGTCATGATCAGCACAGAAGCTGGAAGATTCGCAGCTGAACCACTGATTATCTACCACAGGTGAATGAATGACTGTGGACTAGAGGGAGCTTTGTGACTGTGGTTTCCAATCAAGAGCAGGATGACAGCTCACAGCTGACCAGCCTGTGCCCTGATTTTCACAGATGAGGATATGAAGGCCTCAGAGAGAGGAAGGGGGAGTAACCTGCCCAGGACCCACAGCTGCCGTGTGGCAGGGTTTGAACCCAGAGCAGGTTTCTGCCTTCCCAGCTGAGGTTCTGTCTCATGCCCCCAGTGCATCCCTTAACAGTTCTTTGAGGGGAGGCAGCCCAGCCTCTGTCCCTGGGCCCCTGCTCAGGCCTGGCCGTGCCAGCCTCTGTGTCTGCAGGGTCCCAGCTCTTGGGGTGGAATCGCCAGGCTTGGTGAGTTCCAGGCTAGGCCCAGGGAGCAGCCAGCCTCTCTCACTAGATGGAGCCGAGGTGGCCGCCAGTTAGATAGCTGGGCAGCCTATCAAAGGCCACTCAGAACAGAGGAGCCCGGAGATCTGGCTCAGAACCCCTGCTCTGAGGAGGTTGAGCCGAAGTGAAGACACTGTTCCCAGCCTGCTGTGCTTGGCCTAAGTGCCCTGCATTCTTGCGGTTTTGTGATATCCTCTCACAAGAAGTTGTAAAGACTTCCCCCCCTCCAGGGAGAACAGAGCATGATGGCCCTTATTCCGTCTCTCCAGCTGCCAGCGTTGCCTTTTCTGAGCCAAAACTACACTAAGTTCAGACATCCCTCTTCTGCCACCTAAGTCGTGAGACCTTGGGTACATCGCCGGACGCCTCTGAGGCCCGTTCTCATCTCAGGGAGGGAGGCAGTGGGGGCGGCACAGGGCCATCCCACCTACTCCCAAGTCCAGGGCTCTTGCCCTACTGGCGGGTTTTTTGTGTCTTGCTTGACTCTAACTTTACCAGATCCTGAGTCTGACTTTACACAAAGCAGTTAGGAACTTTGTGTAGGGCCTAAATTTAACCATTGCAACCTTATGATCACAGTCCTCTTCTCATGTTAATAATAAACATTTATTAAGCACCTGTGCTTTGTCGGGACCACGGGGAATTCAAAGGCAGAAGAGGCACTGCCCTCAGGGAGCCCCCAGCCCGTTACCCTACAGGCTTCCATGACTTGATTACATAGCACGGAGCTTCCCTGAAGGGATTGCCATTTGGGAAGTGCAAGAGAGTGATCGTTTTTATTTTCCTGCCTAAACATGAGTCCATCCACCTAGGGAGGAGGTTTAGGACCCACACTTGTGTGGCCAAAAGCTAGTCCTCTGCCTCTACGGGCCTACTCCCTTCTCTATAAATCAGTGAAGTTTGCCTGACTCCAGAGATTGGTGCTTTTTAAACAATGATCCATGAAGCCTAGGTACTCATGGACAGAAGGTGGGGGGCACTGAACCGGTAGGGACTCCAAACCCTCCATTCCCAACTTGACTACAGCAGTTCTGCTTTTAAAAATCAAGTTTAACAGTTGGAATTCTTCCTAAAATTTCATTGGAAAAAGGCTCCACTGCTAAAAACAAGCTTGAAACCCATGGCTGTAGATCAATGTTTCTCAGCTTCAGCCCTGTTGGCATTTGGGGCCAGAAGATTCTTTGTGGAGGGGGGCCGACCTGGGCATTCTAGGATGTTTAGCACCATTCCTGGCCTCTGCCCACTGGTGCCACCTCTCCCCAAGGCATAACGAAGATGTCTCCACACATTGCCGAATGTCCTCTGGGGTAAGAACCACTGGTATAAAGCAAGATGAGGATTTAATCAGCAAGTCACAAACTTGTCACACCATTATGTACACAGCACTGTTCTGAGGAACCACAAATAAACTTAATTCCTGAGCTGGGCCACCTTTTCATTTACATGGAGAGATAAGAAAGTGAATCAGTACGGTCAGAGAAATGTCTCAAGGCAACACATGATTACTTGCCAGGTAGAAGCTGCTTATTTGATGAGCAATATTTATACTGTTAATCATAACTGTGTGTTCATTGACGTTTGCAACTTGCCCCCCAAGGTTTCCGGCTCCCTGCCGCCACCTGGTGGCAGTGTGCTGAATGTGTAGGGCAGCCCAACATTAACATGATGCCCTGTGGTGATAGCTTCGGGGTAGATGCATAACCAGAACTAGTTCTGGAATTTTCCCAAGAGGGCAAATGAGGCTAAAGCAAGCCAGTGATGGATCTAGGAATGGAGATCCGGGTTCTTGAATTCTGTCAGTCACAAATGCTACGAACATCTCTGAGGCCTCTAGCAGGGGCCAAGCGCTGTGCTCGCGGTGATGTGGATTTGAAGCTGAAAGGCACAGCCCCTTCCCCTCAGGTACCTCACAATCTGGCACGCGGGGCGCAGACTGCCGCCCTGAACAATAACCCTATCTGAGAGGCAGTGTGGCAGGTAAGGCCAGGTGCTGTAGGGGCGGCCAGCCCATTCCCAGGTGGCCCTTGGCAGAGTCTCCAAGGGCAAATGGAGGTCAAGCAGAAGTGGTGGCAAATACAAAGGCCCTGAGAGAGAAAAGAGCAGGTTACCTCTGAGAAACTTCAGGAAGCCCAGTGTGGCTTGTGCACGGGAAGTGCCGTGGAGAGAGGAGAAGGTGGGACTGGAGAGGCAGGGGCGGAGCATGGGGGGGCAGAACACGCTGTTTATGTTCTGAGACACCTTGTGGTCATGTTTACAGACCATCGACAAATGCTCAGTGATCTGGGTCATCAGTGACGTGGAGAGAGTCTCTGGAGGCAGAGCCCACGAAGACCTTCTGAGCGAGAGCATCAGAGCCTGCCAGAGGGGCTTCTGCGGGGACATTGCCCTGGTCGTCACCAAGACCGACAAGCTCTACCTGCCCGAATATCTGAGGTACCGTGCTGGGCTTGCAAGCCTGTGGGCTTTCCTCCGTGGTCCTGACTGCTGGAATGGCAGAGTTTTCACTCCTGGGCATTGCAGACTTAAGGGAAGTGACTGTTAGGGAAGGGAGAGAAGTCTGGGTGACATTCTAAGCCACCAGAACCAGTGGGTAGATTGTCTTGGGAATCGGAACCATTGTGACCCCTCTTCCAGAGTGGCTGCTTGACGCTTGCCAGGGGTGCCACTTGCATGGATGAGGTGCTGAGAGCACCTCCTACAGTCGTGCAGTGTGGTGGCCTCGCCCGCCCCCATAGATACGGAAAGCGTGACACCCCCACAGTTCGTAGGCACTTTCTGTAATACAGGCTGGCATAGTACAGCTTTGAAAGGTCAGATTCTGTCAGACTTGTCTACTCCTAAACAAGGTTCTCAAAGTTTTAGAACTTTGACCCAAAGTGAAAGCATTCCTACAGAACCACATTCTAACAAAGAATAATAAAACGTAAACATTTTAGAGTTTAATAGATGTTCATGTATCTTGATTTCCACTGTAGATCTCTGTTCCCTCTGTAAAATTATAACTTATTTTCCATATTGGGACACTTCAGAATTAAAAGGGGCTGTTATTAACCCTTACGGAGGATCAACAGGTATAAACCGATCTGTCCTGTGTATGGTCCCGGGATGTAATGGTGTCGATGCACTGCACCAAGAGCATCTTTTCCTGTCATCTCCACCATTTTCCCTTCATTTGCTGAAACTCAAGTCTGCTGTCTCCAGGAATTCACTAATCAGATAAAACTTTCTTGGGGAAGAAATAGGCTACGGTTTCCCTTTTTAACTTCTTGCTTTCATGGCCTACTTAGAACTTCAGCTTCATTTCTTCCCCCTTCAGATTCCCTCCATCCCGACCCCTTCCACACAGAATAGCACGCTCTCCATTTCCAGCACCAGCTCTAAACCTAAACATCATCGCGTTTACCGAACGTTTGTTGAGCACTGCAGTAGGGCTGCAGATTCAGGAGGCAGATTGCCTGGTCACTGAGGCCGCTGTCGTGGAAGAAGGTAAAAGGTTCTGTGACAGGGACAGGCAAGGAGCTTTGGGTACACAGAGAGAGGGGGCTGCACGTTAACCAGAAGGTGAGCCACAGAAAATTCCACCGACAACAAAACGTTGAGAAATAGACACTTTTTTTCAAATGGACTAGAGGTGGATCAGAAGACAGCATTTGGACCAAAGAAAGAGCTTTGCAGAACATGCTGGTATATGTTGTTTTTCGGGCAGGTCGAAAGGCTGCCGTGACCCTACTGAGTTAAGTAATTGTTACATTTTTCATTTCAGGGAAAGAAAAGGGGGAAATGTGAGTATGGACTAGTTCTTCTCTATTTTTTTAAAGCTCTATTGAGATATAATTGATACACAAAAAATTGCACATACTTAGTGTAAACATCATGATGAGTTTGGGCATACGCATGGACTCGTTATTTTTAAATAATACTTTGTATGGTTAATATTGCATGAATTGAAGACCGAATGAAGGTCTGCTGAAAAAAAGTGCATCATATTACTCATCAGTCTCAATAACCCTGGACTCTGTTGTGCTTTTATTTCTTCTCACAATCTAGCAAGCTATTCAAAGTCAGCGAGAGGCTGTCTTAGAAAGAAATGAAATGATAAAAATACAAAGGAATAGAATTCTCAAGGAAAAACTAAAGGTGAGTTAACAAATTTCCATATGTATTTTTCTGCTTTTCAGCCACTCAGATTTTGAGAAACAAATGTCTGTTTGGTCTCGTGTGATAGCAAGGGTGAAAGCTTGGGGTAAACAATCTGGACCTGACTTAGTCCTATTGGTTAATAACTTCGTGACCTTAGGCAATTATTGTACCTCTCTGAGCCTCCGTTTTCTCATCTGTTAAATGGGGAAATAATATCTACCTCCTGTGATTGTTGGAAGGATTGCATGAGCATGTATATGGTCTATTGAGAAATACGTGCAGGTAAAAATCAGAGGTCACCATTACAGCTTAAGGTGTGCTTCGCCAGAGGTGCATCGGGGGTCATGGAAACAGAAGGGTGCCTGAATCACACTGGCAGACTGGGGGGCGGTTCTGGGAAAACTCCTCACACTCTTAAGCAGAATTTGAAAGAAGCAATAGTCTTTAGTAAGGTGAAGAAGTAGGAGAAAGTGCATTCAGGACAGAGGGAAGAATGTAATCAGAAAACGTGTGGTTCATCAGTGTTTGGTGAACGATGCAGTGCCAAACAGCTTCCCAAAGGACAAATGCGCGGTGTTGGGAGATAAGGCTTGAGCTGACTTTTTCAAGCTTCAGTAATTTTTCTGCATGAATCTTGGTGTTTTCTTAAATTATTTCTATTATTTGGTCATTGAAATAGGTACAAACATGAAACTCCTTACCAGGATGGTCTTATACAACTATAAAACTGAAAACAATTTTAAGATAAGCTACAAATTTTAAGCTACAAACAATTTTAAGATAAGGTACAAATGAAACAACATAGTATAATGTAATGGGTGATATGGTTTTTCTGAAACCAAATCTTCAGTGCTGGTTTAATAGTAAAAACATATGGCCTTATGTCTCGTTCTATATTGAATTGCTTTCTGTATTTTGACTTCAGTAATATTGATGCAGAAAATGTCTGATGTACAATGTGGTATTCAAAATTTCCAAGCTTCTGTTTCTCATTCTAATTTCTAATCTGCATAATCAGATCTCATACCAAGTCAAAGCCTTTTGCCAAGCAATTCTTGAATGACAGTTTTAATAAGGTAATAGCTCAGTAAAGCTGTTCTTATTCTCTTTAATTGTTCTTGTTGGCATTAAAGAAATATGCATTTTATGAGCAGAAGCATAAAATAATGTGATACCCAGTTCACAACTAGTTTTTATTGCTAATAAATGTGGTGTATTGGTGTGTAGGGGACAGGGTCTGGGCAGCAGTATGTCAGCTTACACGATGGCTAATGGTTCTGACTGTTACGGTCCAAGTTCTTCTGAATTTGTGCACTTACACCTCTGAAGGCTAGGTGATACCTGATTTTCCAACCACTTTATTTCAGTTTGGATTATTGTGAAACCTTTAACTTGTGCTGTGTGCCTTCATTTTGAGCAAATTTAATTTTAATCATAGAAAATATGAGGCAGAACTTGTTTATAAGGTGGTCATTCATATAGATGTCTATGCATACTTTTTTAATTATAAAAATGGAAATTAGAAAAAAATATGCTAAGAGAAATGACAGACCCCTGAGACTAGGTTTATAGATTTCAGTTTGGAAAGACTATGTATCTTCTAAAATGTTGTTTTCCCAGTACTATGGAAAATGGATGGTAGGGGAAGGGGTGAGTCACGATTGGATATAGAGACCAGTTGGGAGGCTTTTTCTGTAGTCTAGGTGGAAGTGATGAGAGACTGAACTAGACAGTCACTATGGGAATAGAGTAGAGGAGCTGCAGACAAGAGATGTTAGGGAGTTCCGATCCACAGTCTGGATGACTGATCGCATGTGGCAGGTACAGGAGAGCTGGATGGGCTTTGACGTGCTCGGGCATGTCATTTGAGCTGGTTATTATGCAGCATTTTCCCTCTGCTTTAGCCCACCTGCAAGGAAAGCCAACACTATTCTCCCACATGTCTCTCCTTTACCCTCACACTACTAACACACTTGCACTGCCTTTTTTAAAAAAATTTAAATGCAACATTATATTCATTTCAGGTGTACAGTACAGTGACTCAACATTTATATACATTACAAAATCACCGTAGGTGTAGTTACCACCCATCATCATACACAGTTATTATAGTATTATTGCTGTACATTACATCCCCATGACTTACCTTGTTTTATAACCGGCAGTGCGTACCTCTTAATTGCCTTCATCTGTTTCACACTTCCCACCAACCCTGCCCCCCCGACCCCCACTAGCAACCAGTTTGTTTTCTCTATTTGTGAGCCTGTTTCTGTTTTGTTTTGTTTCTTCATTTGTTTTGCTTTTAATATTCCATATATAAGGGTAGGTGATACCTAATTTCCAACCACTTTATTTCAGTTTCGATTATTGTGTATGAGTTATTTATATATTTTGGATACTAACCCTTTACTGGATATTATCACAGCTTCTTTATCCATTCATCTATTGATGAACCCTCAGTGTTTCCATATCTTGGTTATTGTAAATAATGCTGCAACAAACATAGGGATGCATATGTCTTTCCAAGTTAGTGTTTTGTTTTCTGATAAATATCCAGAAGTGGAACTGCTAGATCGTATGCTATTTCTATTTTTAATTTTTTGAAGAACCTTTATACTGGTTTCCATGATGGCTGCACGAATTTACATTCCCACCAACAGTGCATGAGGGGTCCCTTTTCTCCACATCCTTGCCATTGCTTGTTCTTTCTTGTCTTTTGATACTAGCCCTTCTGACTGGTATGAGATGATATCTCATTGTGGTTCTGATTTGTATTTCCCTAATGATTAGTGATGTGGGTCATCTTTTCATGTGTCTGTTGACCATCTGTATGTCTTCTTTGGAAAAATGTCTATTCAGGTCCTCTGCCCATTTTTTAATGCACTTGCTGCTGTGTGTATTTGGTTGTATGAGTTCTTTATACATTTTGGATACTAACCCTTTACTGGATATATCCTTTGCAAATAACTTCTCTCATTTAGTAGGTTGCCTTTTCATTTTGCTGATAGTTGCCTTCTCTGTGCAAAAGCTTTTGAGTTTGATGTCATCCCAGTTGTTTGTTTCGTTGCCCTTGCCTGAGGAAATAGATTCAAAAAAATTTTGCTGAGTCTGGAAGAGTTTACTGCCTATGTTTTCTTTCAGCATTTTTATGGTTAATGGTTTTGACTTAGGCCTTTACTCCATTTTGAGTTTTGTTTTTGTATAATGTGTAAGAAAGTGGTCCAGTTTCATTCTTTTTCATGTAGCTGTCCAGTTTTCTCAATATCATTTTCTGAGAAGACTGTCTTCTCCCCATTGTATATTCTTGGCTCCTTTGTCATAGATGTATTGCCCACACAAGAGTGGGTTTATTTCTGGGCTCTCTATTCTGTTCCACCGATCTACATGTTTGTTTTTGGTGCCAGTGCCACACTGTTTTGATTACCATAGCTTTGTAGTATGTAAAGGGATTGGGACATTTCCAGCTTTGTCCTTCTTTTTCAAGATTGATTTGGCCATTTGGGGTTCTTCTGTGGTTCCCTACAAATTTTAGGATTATTTGTTCTAGTTCTGTAAAAAATGCTATTAGCATTTTGATAGAGATTGCATTGAATCTGTAGATTGTTTTGAGTAGCATAAACATCTTAGCAATATTAATCCTTCCAATTCCTGCTAACATACTCAGAACCTTCAGACACTAGATGCATGGGGATTTTTCTTTCACCAAACAATTCTCTGTCATCAACTGGGTGTCCTGCAAGCTAACTTGATGTGAACAACAGCATCAGATCTCACAGGTTAGGGTCTAAATCCCACAAGACTGCTCCCCACCCCACTTCAGATGCCAATTGCAAGAAGTAGGTCCTCAGGTTTCCCACAACTTCTGTCCAACTTGGCTATAAATCATAGGGTCCCATGACCTCCTCCCCTTGGGTTTTATTATTTGCTAGAGTAGCTCACAAAACTCAGTGAAACAATTACTTATGTTGAGGAGTTTATTATATAATAAGGGATATGCTAAAGAATACGGATGCACAGCATGAACACATAACACAGGGCAAAGCCTGGGAGGTGCCTGAGCACAGGAGCTTCTGTCCCGTGCAGTTTGGAATGCATCACTCTCCCGGTGTACAGACGTGTTTGCCAACCAGAAGCTCTCTGAACCCCATACTATTGGGATTTTATGGAGGCTTCTCCACATAGGCATGATCAATTATTAACTCCATCTCCTGTTCTTCTCCCTCTCTGGAGAATGGGGGTGGGTCTGAAAACTCCAGGCTTCTAATGGCTAAATTCTTTCTGGTGTCCAGCCCCCATCCAAGAGCCCGCCCAGTGTTGCCTCACGGGGGGAAAAAAGACAGTCCTGTCACTCAGGAAATCCCAAGGGATTTAAGAGTTCTGTGTCAGGTACCAGGATCAAAGACCAAATATTAGAACAAAGATGCTCCTAGTGTCTTTATCACTTAGGATATGATGATAGTTTTAGGAGCTTTGTGCAGGGAACTGAAGTCAAAGACTGAATGTTAAAACAAAAGACTTTCCTAGTATTCCTGCTTATAAGGGATTTAGGAGCCCTCTGTCAGGAACTAGAACCAGATATGTGTATTTATTTATTTATTTATTTATTTATATTTACATATATACATATTTATATATATATTTCTTATTATTTTACAATACCTCATTATTTTACTCAGTTTGAGGTTCATATGGAATTCATGGCTTTCAGAGAATTATTGTGTTCTTTTTGATGTTCAAGTTCTCATCTTGACTAACAGGAGCCTTTAATTTAAGCTGGTTTCTTTTAGCATTACCCAGACTTAAAAAGAAAAAAAATACATTTTTGCTCTCTGGTGACCATAAGGTGTTCAAGCCCATTTTATTTCTCCCTGCTCCAAAACATGAACCAACTACTTTCACCAGAGAATATTAAAAATAAAAGTTGGGGTACTAGGGGTACATATAAAATGATTTCACAAGTAGAAGTGGGCAGTGTGGTATCACTGCAAAATCATTTTAATGACAACGTTCAAAAAGATAGATTATTTTTTTTTAAATGGGGTCACTTAGCTACATGTAAGAGAATGAAACTGGATCACTGCTAACCCCATACACAAAAGTAAACTTGAAATGGATCAAAGACCTGAACGTAAGTCATGAAACCATAAAACTCATATAAGAAAACATAGGCAAAAATCTCTTGAATATAACATTAGCATTTTCCTGAATACATCTCCTCAGGCAAGGGAAACAAAATAAAAAATGAACAAATGGGACTACATCAAACTAAAAAGCTTCTGTACAGCAAAGGACACCATCAACAGAACAAAAAGGCATTGTGCAGTATGGGAGAATATATTCGTAAATGACATCTGATAAGGGGTTAACATCTAAAATATAAAAGAACTCACACACCTCAACACCCAAAAAAACAAATAACCCAATTAAAAAATGGTAGAGGATCTGAACAGACACTTCTCCAAAGAAGACATTCAGATGGCCAACAGGCACATGAAAAGATGCTCCACACCACTAATCAGGGAAAAGCTAATTAAAACCACAATGAGATATCACCTCACACCAGTTAGGATGGTTAAAACCCAAAAGACAGAAAACATCAAATTCTGGCAAGGATGTGGAGAAAGGGGAACCCTCCTACATTGCTGGTAGGAATGAATATTAGTCCAACCATTGAGGAAAGCAATATGGAAGTTCCTCAAAAAACTAAAAATAGAAATACCATTTGACCCAGGAATTCTACTCCTAGGATATACCCAAAGAAAACAAGGTCCCTGATTGGAAAGACATATGCACCCCTATGTTTATTGCAGTGCTATTTACAATAGCCAAGATATGGAAGCAACCTAAGTGTCCATCAGTACATGAATGGATAAAGAAGATGTGGTACATACACACAATGGCATATTATTCAGCCATAAAAAGAAAAGAAATCCTGCCATTTGCAACAACATGATGGAGCTAGAGGGTATTATGCTCAGTGAAATAATCCAGGTGGAGAAATACAAGTACCAAATGACTTCACTCATTTGTGGAGTATAAAAACAAAGCAAAACTGAAGGAACAAAACAGCAGCAGATTTACAGACGCTGAGAAGGAACTAGTGGTTACCGAAAGGGAGGGGCTGAGGAGAGTGGGTCGGGAGAGAGAAGAGCATTAAGGACACTATAATCTGCAATCACAATATAAGTGGGTCGCGGGGAAGGCAGTATGACATGGAGAAGGCAAGTAATGACTCTATAGCATCTTACTACACTGATAGACAGTGACTGCAAGGGGGGTGCTGGTGGTGAGGACTTGGTAATATGGGTGAATATTGAAACAACAGTGTTGTTCATGTGAGACCTTCATAAGATTGTCTATCAGTGATACTTTAATAAAAAAATGAGGTTACTATTCAGATTACTGACTTCAGTCTAACTCCATGTTTACTATATCCTTTTTGATTCTGCTTCCATCTAGTATCCCTTATATTTTTAGCTTCCTCTTTTGAATACGATATCTTCTTTAACATATTATGCTTTGATGTATTATGTTGTACATTGTCATAACAAACCACATGTGTAAATTATAAGTGACTAAACTTTCTGTAGGATGATTTGATGAGTGTCTACTTACCTCTTGCATCCTACTTTCCAGCTGTCACTGCTTTGCCTTCTCTATTACAATAGTGTGGAACCTGCATGCTGCAGTCACTTCACTGACACTAGGAACTATTTCTTTGTACTATAATAACAAGTATGTTAACTAGTCTTCAATCATTTGTAGAAAAGATACAAACTTTAGAGCAAGATTTTAAATAATGCAAACACCTAGACATAACTAGGCATACTCCTTTCTCTTAACTTTTTAAAACAGCTTTTTCCCCCAGTAAAACAGTTTCAGCTTTCCTTAAATTTATTTCCTAGGGTCAAAATTCTATCAGAAAGAGAAAAAATTTAATCTTGGCGGATCCTTTGTATAATTTCAACTCTGACTCTACTGTGGGGCTTCTGGAAGCCTATGCGGGCATCCTTGACTGCATGGGCTTACAAGTTGCCAGAGATGTGGCCTCTCCCCTCTTCCAGTGGGCTGCTCACTCAGCTCTTTCATATCTTGCATCAGATAGAGATGGGACAACTCTCCACTGTTTTCTGTAACCTCCAAATACCCAGATGCACACACATGCACACTCTTTATGGTTTTTCTTTTTTAAGTGAAAAGCATGAAAAATTATGGAACGATATTTATGTATAATTCTAGTATGACTTGTCTGTAATGATGTTCTAATCATAAAAATAGATTGTAAGTCTGGGGAAAGGAAATCCCAAGGCAAAATACCTCTAAAAACCAAAATCAGTCAAAGGGAGAAATAAAGTTTAAAATCTGTTTATTGCTCACAAGTAGCAGTACCAGGCCGCCTCTCTTTCCTGCTCCAGCAGAAGCAAAACTGGCCCTTCCTTCACCTCTCTGGTACAGATAAGGCCTCCTTACCTAGGTAATTACCCATTGATATGGAGATGAATTTCTCTCCACCCCTGAGGAATGGTGCAAATGCACGAAAGCCATACTTCTTTCCACTTCTGAACACCTATTGATATGCAGATGCACTAAAGCCAGGCGAGATATCTGGAAATGTTACAATTTTACCCGCATAGATTTTCTCACATGATTCTTAATTCCTTGACATTTAACACCATCATTTCCTTAAACATTGCTCTGCATTCAAATATATATGATGACTCACTAACCACCCATTTACCAAACTTGCATTTCTATAGGACTTTTGCCCACTGTTGGGTTCTGTTGCACTGGTAAATGTTTAACAGCGCTCCGTTTAGAAAAAAGCCCTGATTTGTAGCATTTGCTGATTCCCATAGTGTAAATACTACTCTTGTCAGTTTCAAGCTATCAGTGTGGTTCACTGAAGGCAGAGCTGGAATGAGCTGTGTACGGTCAGCTCTCAGGAGTTGGGACAAGCTGGCTGAAGCACACACTGCCTTCTAGAGCGGCACTTCTTTTTCTAAAAAGGGTCCTGATATTTTTTCCCCTCTGAACACATAAGTACACTTTGTACATTTCCTTCTAGAATTGATATTTTTAACTCCCAAAAGAACAGTTTCTATGCAGCAATCTCCTCCCAATTTCCAGCCGTGCAAGATGTGGGCAGGTGGGAGCACCTGACCTATGGGTATTGTGTGTTCATGCCGGGATGCATGTAGAACTAGAAATGACCAAGCTGAAACTTGGTGAAGACTCTCTTAAGGCCTGTGCATTGTCTCCCATGTTCTGGCTGAGTTGTTCTGTTCCCTTTCTGCCTTTCTCACTGCAGAGAAAACTGCCTGCTGATTGCAAGGTTCTGAAAGCCTCAGATCTGGTGTACACGGTCAGCGCCCAGGAGTACTGGCAGCAGGCTCTCCTCACCGAGGAGGAAACTGGTAATTTATATATTTCTTATCTCAATCACTAACATTCTCAAGATTAAGCTTGGTACAGGGAATTTCCCTCTCTGGGACTTTTTGTGCCATGCTTCCAGCTTGCCACAGTTTCTATACCTATTAGTGGATATATTTATGTTTCTCTCTGCATTGTTGTGGTGCCTGAGACCACAATTCCTCTCTCCTCCAAATCTTACCATGAGTTGGTAAAGGTCAGTGTTCAGGTCTCCATTTCTTTAGTATTTGACTGGAGTTTTCTCACTCACCTGGCTACGGTTATTGGAAGTATTTCCTGATTGTATGCTTTGTCTGTTGTATGCTTTGTCTGTGAGGAGGAAAGTACTAGACATGCCCCCTTTCTTCACAGAACTTAAAATCTAGATGAGGACCTAACACTAAGCTATGTGTAAAAATCGAAGTAAAAATAAGCTAATATAAAATGGTGCTATGAGAGCAATAGACATTCAAGGAACCATGTGACTGGAGTGATGAGAGAAAACTGGGTGAGTCGACAGGATCTGAGCTTAAAACGGCTTAAAAGGTGCATGCGTTTTAATTACACATATGAGTGCCAGAGGAGGCTAAGGGCAAAAGAAATGATCAGCTTGGCACACACAATATTGTTAACAGAGAAAACGTCCCACTTACAGGACTAGTGGGGAAGATGCAGGATGGCTTCTGTTACCCTCTGCCTAACAAAGGGTTGAGGCTGAAGTAAGTCTCCAGTCTGGAATCCCACTTGTCAGTGGTTCCTGTCCCTTTCAACAGCAAGCATGAGCTATTTTGATATTAAGGGTTATTTGATAGAGAAAGGAAAATCTTGGGGGAACCACAGAGCCAAAACTGCAATAGGAGCACCGTTAGTTCACCTTTGCAGGTAAGTACCGACCCAAAGGGAAGTGCCCATTTTTTTTTTAAACCAGCCTGCACTTTCTATGTCATTTGTTATCTATTGCTACATAAAACTGGTATTCACCACTGCTGATGGGCCAGTTTGTATCGTCGATCCTAGACATGGGAAAAAACAGCCTCAGAAAGGTTGGTTTAGTGGCATCCAGCCTACATCCTGATCTGGTAATTTTTCTGACTTCTATCTACTGTGAACTCTGGCCTTTTAAAATTGTTCATGCTGCCTGTGAATTCCAGAAATCCCCAAGTTAAGAGGCTACATCAGGAAAAGGCTCTTGGACAAGAAGAGAAGGATGGTGACCACGTACGTGATGGAAGCTTCTGGTTTGTTGTTCCTCACAGACAGTTTCAACTGCGCGGAAAGTCTGCCGGTATGCAGGCCATCTGCGCGCGTTCTCTGCCTCCTAGCCTGGGCAGACCATTCTCTTTTACCAAGTTAGAAAATTAAATTATGATAACTTTTCTCTCCGTATCAAAGGAGTATCGTAGCTTAGAGGACCTAAAGAGGATAAAAGGATAATTAGAGGGTTAAAATTGGGACCTTTGAGTAAAAAAAAGAAGAGTATTTTATCTGGGACAGATGGGCTGAGAGGAAAATGTAAAAATAGAGGGTATTGTCACTTCCCTTGAGATTTGAACAAGATGGAATGTGTTTAAGCAATGGCAGAAGTGATTTGTTTATTTCTAGTGGAATTCAGGCGCTTTTTGGTGATCCTATAGAGGCCTGTTTATGCGTATAGCCCAAACAAGTTTCATCTGTCTGTGAATTTCCTTCATGCCCTGGTGCTGTCGGAATTTCAAGCTCAGAGCAGCAGAGTAAAATAATGGGAGAGGAAGGAAACTAGGCAGGACTTCCAGCAAAGAGGTGAGGTATTTATCTGCAAAGTGTAGAATGCAGGCCCTTTGAATGACCAGTTAAAAATTACTTTTTTCATGGTAATGGATGAAAGTATCACTCTGATGGATGGCTTTTTTTTAACCTTAAGGTAAAAGGGGTAAACTGCTAAAGTAGAGGCTTGGGAGTTTTGGAGAAAAATCTGTTGCTGGGATCAATCACCAACCGCACTGCTTCTTTGTGAGGAACTGAATGCAGGAAGGGACAGTCGTGTATGAACACAGAGCTCTGACCCACAGCCAGCGGCAACCTGCCTGGGAACCTGACCCCTTATCTGCACTAAATGGCCTATTTATTTGTGCGTTACACTTCCAGGAAGTTAGGCTGCCGTCTCCAGTAATGACTCAGGAAGCTAAAAAGTGACTTGGCCCCAAATGGCCAGACCTTGTTTAATAACTGAGAGCTCCCCTAATCTCTATCCCTGCTTCCAACTTAGGACCAACCAGATAACGCCAAATATGCACGCTGATGAGTCACACAGGCTCCCCGTCTAGCTAGCCCACCTTCGGCTTCCCCAGGCCAGCGACCTTGCATTGGGCACTCCTAAGCCTTCCTACTCCGCCGCCTCTGTCAGATGCAGACAATGGCAGTGGACCCCCTGCTCTAGCAAGCTCTGAACAAGTGGCCTTTGGGAGTTCTCATTTGACTGGAGCTAATTTACTTCCGCATTTGCTATCAGCCACTAGGTTTGCACAGCCAGCTTGTCTGGCTTCTTGATAAGCAGGATGGGAAAGGGAGAGAGAGAGAGAAAACTAGTAGGGCTCTGAGAGAGGTCAAGGGCGGGCGCTGAGAGTGTGCAAGAGTGAGCCTGGGCAGGCTCTGTCCAGTGGCGAGGACAGGCAGATACTGGACTCCTCTGACTCCAGTGGGAGAAGTAAGCGATGCTGCCAAAGAGGTCCTTGTGCGTTTGGTCCAATGTCTGCACTTAAAAAATAATTTTTAAAGGTGACATACAGAGCAAGATTTGCTGTCTTTTCATTGCATTTCCTGTGCCTCGTTTTGGTCTAGTCTGTGAGGGGAAAAATAAACCTCCTGGGATCTGAGATTTTCTCATATGACAATTTTGTCCTCTGAAATATTGGGGAAGGATTTGACCTCACTTCCCAAAAAAGTTCTTTGGGGTAAAAGTTGCATCTCTGCCCAGCCAAGGATTGCTTCTGGACGTGCTGATGGAAAATGAATCAGCTGTGGTACTGTGTGTGGTCGGTTCATTTCACAAACCCAAGGACAAGGCATTTTGCAGACTCAGAAGTGCCTGTCCTGCATGCTGTCCTCTGCTAATGCGGACATGCACCCTGGATAGGGGCTCAGACCCGGCCTTGCAGCTGGACTCCAAGTGACAGAAAACATAGAAGGGCTTCTGGGCACGTCTGTGACCTCCTTTTGGAGGGATTTGCCAGCAGCCTTCCTCAAAATTTGTTGGCCTCAGACGTTGGTCTCAGTCTTAGTTCTTTCATGAAAAGCTGGGAGGCCAGAGTTTTGTCAGTTCCTCTGCATCCTGGAAAAAAAGTCAAACCTAAAAATGTACATGACTGATCATTCTTAAAGATTGTAACTCAAACCGAGAGCTTCAGAGTTTGGGTAGTTAGTGAGTTTCAGTGAACAGGGATCTAGTCATTATTTTCAAGAATCAGTAGGAGTTGATTATGACATCTCAGTGTCAAATGAGTCCCTCGTTTATTCATGGTGGGTGCCAGCCTTCCCCTTTCTTGCTGTTCTTTTATTTCCAGCCCCGTCCTTTCTTACCATTCTTTTGTTTATTCGACAAGGATTGTTCAGAGTGAGACTTTGTGAAACTCTTGCCTGTAGAGCTTCTTTTCATGGCTTCTTACTTCACTTTGATCACCAGCGATGCCATAGGGCAAAAGAATATAGAGGGCACTCCGGAGAAAAACAGTCCGGCTTGTAGATTTCTTACTCATGGCAACTATGAAAATCCCCAGGGTGTGCCTCAAGCTGAATAATCTCGGTAAAAATGGTTAAAGTTTTAAAAATAAACCTCTTCTCCTCTAAGACTCATAGAGTATGGGAGTTCGAGGCTGTCTTCAGAACCATTCAGCCCCATTCACTTCACTCAAGATCCAGAGTCTGTCATCTGCATAAAGCCACACATCAATTCGAGAGCTATTTCTGTCATCACACTGGGAATAGAACTTAAAAGTCCCCATTATCTAGCAGTTTCTCTGTGCCACTCATACACTGCACAGCTGTTTCTGAGCCGTGCTTCGGAGTAAATAGGCATGAATAACAGTCTGTCCCTTCAGCAAGTTCCTAGTCCCGGGGGAGGACATGTGGAATGACACAGAGCACAGCAGGAAGCACGCTGTGACACAGGGATGTACAGAATGTTTTGGGTGGCGGGGACAGTGTCATGTGGGAAGTGAGTTTTGAGCTTTGGAAGGATGCAAAGGGGGTATAGCATGTGCAAAGGTGTGGGGTCACAGAAGGGATGACACATTTGGGGAATGGTAGCAAGTTCAGGGCAGCTACGTGGGAAGATGTTTTGGGCGAATGGATGGCTGGTAGTGCTGGAGAGGTGAGTTCTAGCTGCAAAAAGCTTTCGGTGCCGAGCTAAGGAGTGCACTTCCACCTGCTGCAGGCACTGCGGGGCCCCCCCAAGGTTCTCACATAGGGAACAACACTATGAGTTCCCAGAGGTCAGGGCTGCCTCGCATGGTCACTCTGTTGTGTTATTTGAATAGAGATTTTCCTCCCTGATTAGACCGTATTCTCCTTTGGAGAAGGGACCATGTCTTTATTCTTGTGGTCCTGCGGCTTTGTTATTCAGTGTGGTCCAGGGCCAGGGGATCAGCAAGCATCGCCTGGGGGACTGCTAGAAATGTAGATTCCCAGGCCCTCAGATTTGAACAAACTCTCCTGGTGATTTGTAAGCACATTAAAGTTTGAGAAGCACAATCCTCCAAAGTTGCTTTGTGCACAAAGTTTATTAGATGTTTGTTGAATCAGAAGTCATTGGAAAAATCATCATAATAACAACTGGATTTTTATTTGGATAGTTACTGCCCTGAACAGCCTGACGGATATTACACTTCAATTAAATTGCAGGAGGCATATAATTGTTCTACTCTCCAATCCCACAAAGCTTAAGGAGGTCTGCCTACCAAGGGATGCCTTATTGGAGCACTAGGGAGAAGCCGCCCCTGGGTGGTTAGCTCAAGCTAAATATTGTGGTGGGGGGCAAGCTTAAAGGAAGTAAGGTCCGGAGAAAGTGCCTTCCAGGAGGCGGTGGCCTCATGTTCCTCGTGGCCCTTGTCCCTAGAACGAATACCTGCATATGAGTAGCCTGCGGAGATTTGTGGAAGAGAAGATACAGCTGCTGGAGAAAGCCACTGAGCAGTGCTTCGCCCACATAACACAGCCTCTGCAAGAAGGGGTCAGAAAGGCCAGGACCTCCTACCGGCGGATCCTCGGGGCCTGCCTGGTGGTGAGTGACCCTTTCCGGGGAAAACCCGTGGCGTTCAGGGACATCTGCCTGAGCCTCCAGCTCGGTCTTCACTGTGCCACATGCTTGGGAAGGAAATAAAGATCTGGACGAGATTAGGAGGGAATGAATGCTGCACATAGGGAAGCACACAGAGGGAACCTTCGACTGTGCCCTGCAAGGACCCAGGAAGGAGTACATGGGGCAGGAGAAACAGCTGGAATTGAAGGTCTGAGGCTCTTGTTTAGAGTGCCAGCTTATGAAACACCCATTGTGTAGCCCCGGGCAGGGTCCTAAACCCATTTCAGCCTATGGATTTTTCTTCTGTAAAACGAGGATGCTAAATACCTGCCCTACTTATAGTACAGGGTTGATGTAAGTATCAGTTAGATGACACAGTAAGAAATTATCTCGCAACCTCTCACTTGGTGCACAACGTGTCATCTTTTAATTAGTTACACGGGGGTTTTCTGAGGGATGAAAAGGTAAGCGTAAGGCAGTGTGCATCTAAGACTCAGGGGCAAAAAGAAGAGGCCCGTTGTTATGGTTTGCGAGAGCTGCTGTGGGGGGCTTCAACAACCAACATTTATTTCTCACAGTCCTGGGGGCTTCATGTCTGAGGTCAAGGTGCACGAAGGCAGTTTCTCCTGGGGCTGCTTTCTTTGGTGTGCAGATGCTGCAGCCGTACTGTGTCCGCACATGATTTCTGCTCTGTGTGCACATCCCTAATGTGCCCCTCTCTTCCTTCGAGGACACCAGTCCTACCGGATCAGGGCCCCATCCTTATGACTTCAGTTCACCCTAATTACCAAGCCATGCCCGATTCCCCAACCCAGAGAACTGTTGAGGGATAATAAATGGTATTACTGTTTGAAGCCACTAAGTTTGCGTAACTAGTTCCATAGCAATAGATAACTAAGTGACCCTGGAGAGACCATTTCTGCATGATGGTAAAAGATCCCAGATCATGAAAACTGAGCTATTGGGTGCTGAGAAGCCTAAGACACCAGGTGGAGGCCACTGCTTAGAGACAGTGTGCTGGTGGAAGAAAGGAACCGTATCAGCCATCTCCAGGCCTTTGCTCGAGCTTCTGCCTCGGAGTGCCCCTCTCCCACCTGTTCTTCAGTGGCTTCTTGCTCTGTGACAACAACATGCCACTGTTTGATAAGCAGCTGTCCTTTGTGGTCTGAAATGTGGGCAAACATTTATAAACTAGCATCATGTCATTACATATTGTAGGGGAATAATCTAAATGTCTAATAATAAGAGAATGGTAAAGTAAATTACAGTATATCCATATGACATTACATTATGTGGTCATTGAAAAAAGTGAGAGTATTTACAATGAATTGAAGAAATGTTCAGTTATAATATTAAGTGAAAAGGGCAGTATATATATATATTATATATGTACCATATATATATATAGTATGATGCTACCTGTATCATTTTGCATAGCCATTCCATTGAAACATAGTCCTTCAAACGTATACCACTAATTAGTGATCACAAAGACCTCTGCTGAAATTTTGGTCAGTGCAAATGTGTTTTTGTTCTCTTTACTGAAGATCACCAGTTGGCTAAAATCATCAGTGTCTCTTATAGCTCTAACCTCCTAATATGTTTTCCTTCTGATTTGTGAATTTATTTCTCTGGGAAAAATTACAAAGAAAGACAAATCATGTTATATTTCACTAGATATTTAACAAAAAAGGAGAAAAACATTGGGACTATGCTTGAAAAATCTGAAACATATTCAAAGGAAGGGCATAGCACATTGTCATTTAATAACTGTTCATTTAACAAGCATTTATCAAGAGCTATTTACGTTGATGCGAGATGGTGAGGACATGAAGATGGACGGGACGTTGTACCTGATCACAGCAGGCTGCTGGGGGGTTCAAGGGCCTGAGGAGGCAAGCCCAGAGCTGTGTGAGAGCTCTGGGGGAGGGCAGGGCAGCGCTCTGGAAGCCTGAGGCTGACTGGGGCACCCCACCAGCTTGAGGCAGGACTGCTGGCTTTCATGTCTAGATTAGTAATATGTTGAAGGATGATGTTGTCTCTACTCTTTCCTGTGATTCTTGGTCATAGCCTTTGGCCAAAGGTCATGAACTTGTGATCCTGTGATGTTCCAGTTAATGTCACTACCTCTACTAACTTACTATGTACTTATCTAGAGGAGCAGAGGAAACCAGGGTTTTCACCAGACTCTGAAAGCTGTTTGCCTGAAAAACGGCCTCTATGCGTCCAGGACTCTCCCAAGAATAGATCTGAACGCAGCCATCACTCAGCCCATCTATGACCAGATTGATCCCGTGTTTGGTGGCATTTTTAGGTAAAGTGGCCTTCATCTTGCCCCTTCATGAACAAACATCTGGAGAATGCTGGGTTCTCCTCTTTAAGAATCTGTACTTTGAATCCGGAAGCATGAAGAGTAGCTTGCAGTTTGAGGAGGAAAGCTTCGTCTTTGGCAAAACACAAAAGCCTTCTTGGTTTGGTTACTTTGAAATTTCCCATGGGGACCTGGAGCTCAGCTGGGGATGTTGCTCGCAGTCTAATATTATCATGCCCCTTATTTTTCAGATACCTCATACATGCAGCAGGAAGTACATTTTCTTGCAGATCTGAGCCCAGGACAGGGTATTTTGGTTGGACAGTGTGGAGCTAAGCAAACACAGAGCCTTCCTAAATTTTCCTGGGTGTGGAAAGGAAACATGGCTCACTGGCGACTCTGTGTTTGACGTGCTGCGTGCTCACGCACTCACTAGCTGTGTGACCTTCATGGCGCCCCTCCTGCCCTCCTTCTTTGACCTGCAGTCCTCTTCTCCATCCACAGGAACACAGCCTCCTGAGGCCACAGGCTCCCTCCTTGGCCTCTGGCATCTCACTGCTCCTCCACCTGCTGCTGCTTGGCCATTCTGCCTTCGCTCATCCTTCCTCAGTGACCCCCTTTCCCATCCCCACCTTGGACTTGTGCCACCCCACCCCATTTACAAGCCTGCAGGGTGGACTCCAGATGCCTTAGAATGGCATCCCAGACATCTCATCTGCCTGCACCTGGCCCTTCCCTTCTCTGCGCTGGTGCCCAGCGTCAGCTCTGCATGTGAGCCAGCCTGGAGAGTGGCACACGGCAACTGGGATGTTCTGGGAACTGCGCTCAGCCCCCCACATGCGTTATCTCAGCAAATCCTCCCAATAACCCTCTGAACTGGCTTCTGTCCTTTCACATGTGAATGAACAACTGAGATTCGGGGATCATGCAGTGTTGTCTCCATGGGGAATAACTCCTCCTCTCCACTTCCCTAAATCTTACCTGCTCTTTAAGATGCAATTCAAGTCTCAGCCTTTCAAGTAGAAACACCTTGGCAGTGGGAGGACTGAGTTTTGAGGTTAAATAGATCAGTGTCCAAAGCCTGGTCCTACCACTTACTAGTTGTGCAGCTTTGAACACTTCAGCAATCTTCTGAACCTGTTTCCTTGTCCTTAAAATGGGTCTTGTTCACCTGATTTCATAGGTTTTTTTGTCAAGGCCTTGGCATGGCACAGTGCCTGGGGCCCTTCATAGGATTTGATAACTTAGATCTCATCCCCCTTCTCTTAAAAATGAATGAAGGGATACCAGCGAGTTTTCTGTTTGGTTTAGCCCCACAACAGCCCCCTTTGTCTCCTAACATTTTGTGTTGCTTTCTCCTGTAGGGCTGGAAAGCCCACTGATTCAGCATTGATGCCTCACATAGATGCTTTTAAGCACTCGCTGCAGGAGAAACTGGCCGAAATTGGCATAAGAAATGGCTGGAAATATGACAGCTACAATAAAAGTTTCCTGATCCAGGAGGTAAAATGGTCATGAGGTGGAAAGGGTGGTGGGCTTGGGTACGGGCCCCCTTCCCCATAGGACTTTGGAGGTTGCCGGTCCGTCCCCGCCTGCTGCCCTGGAGTTCCCAGGGCCTGGGCGAATCTCATAGCAGGCACGGTGAGATATAAGACATAGGTAGGCGAGAGGAGGTCCTGAGACGGCTCCGGACACATGGGCAAGCCTGGCTCCTTCCACTGTGAGGCAACCGAGAGCTAACGGTGGGTCTGCTAAGTAGACTCGGTTCCCGGGAAGAATCTTGAGTCCTCAGATGCACAAACGTTTGAACCCACCTGTAGCATTTCTAAGCTCGCCATCATGTTTGCCAATATTACAAAGTATGTTCTAAAGAGGTGATGCTTAAAAAAGCTCATTTTTTTGCATATCAGTTTTTAGTTTTAAGTACTCAGGACTCTTTCATGTCATCTTGTAGGCCTAGTCAGGCTGCTATAACAAAACACCATAAACTGAGGGGTTGGGGGGCGCCTTATAAACAACAGAAACTTAGTATCACAACTCTGCAGGCTGGAAGTCCAAGGTCAAGACACAGGCAGCGATGGCGTCTGGTGAGAGCCTGGTTCACAGCTTCCTGTTTCACAGATGCTGTCTTTTCACTGTGTCCTCACACAGTGGAAGGGGCACAGGTCCCCTCTAGGGTCCCTTCTGCAAGGGGACGAGTCCAGCCTGAAAACTCCTTCCTCGAGACCTAACTATCTCCCAGAGGCCTCCCCTCCTAACACCTGGAGGTGTATATGTGAGGACGTCAGCATCTGAGTTGGGGGAACACACAATATTCAGTCCGTAGCTCAGGCCCAGCCAGGTCACGTGGCAACTCTAGAGAAATACCCTGTGCCTCCCCTGCTCCTCTTCGAAGGGGGCCTGTTCCAACACCTTGTACGTGCCTCAGTTCAACTCAGCAATGTTTCTCGAGGTGTTTCTAAGTGCCAGGCACTGTGGGAAGCACTTTGGGGTAAAAAAGTGCTTAGGACAAAATTCCTGCCAGTGAGAGGTTCCCAGCCTAGGTGTGGAAATGACATGTAAACAGCCAACCATCATATAAAGCAGAGGGAGAGGGCGGCCACCTATGGGAACCCCAGGTGCTTCGTGGAAGGCGTGGTCACAAATGGCCTTGTGTTCATGTGGATTCTCAGATAAGCGCCATCCTGGGAGGCCTGGAGGAGTACATCCTCAGGAAGAAGAGGGGGCTGTATGAGTCTCTCACCACCTCTGTTCAGAATGACCTGAAGCTCTGCTACGAAGGTGGGGGCTCCCAAGGGCAGCCTCCCCACCCCTCAGGCCCTGTCAGCGACTCTGGCGCGCTTCCCTGCTGCTCCCTGCAAAGGAGCTGTCCTCCTGCCTGTGTCTCACCCCACAGATGAAGGCCGAATAACTGCAAGGCTGTGGGAGAGGCAATCATGAGCCATTTTCATCTGTTTCCAGTTCTTTCTGTCCCTCCTTTATCTGGACACCTTGCTTCTCCTCTCCATGCTGCATCTCAGCTAATTAAACTCTACAATCCATTAACCAATTCTCATTCTTATTTTCTTCAAGTATTTATAAACTCACTTTCCAACTCCTCTTTGCTTTGGCGGCCCCATTGTTTTTCCTGGGAGTGGGTTGGAATTTTGTAAGCTTCTGCTTAATTCACTCCGTAGATTTTCTGAATGATAGTTATGTAAATATTGACAGTGTTAGCTTTTTGTATCATGTTATTATTAGACTATTTCCATCATGTGGAAATGGCACTACATATATGAATATACATAAGCATGTGTGTATGTATGTGTATGTATGTGTGTGTATGTGTGTGTATGTGTGTGTACAGATGCATATTTTGCTTGCTTGCTTGTCCTTCTGATGCCAAAGATCTAAGCAGGTCCCTGCGGTGGTGTGACCGTGGCTCTCATTTTTGCAGAGGCAGCTCAGATCACTGGCAGAAAAGCCTGTGAGAGAATGAAAGCTGTCATCCGAAGAGGGGTGGACCAGCAGGTGGCCGAGGGCATGTTTGAAAGGGCTCAGGAAAGGATGCAGCACCAATTTCAGCAACTGAAGGTACCCCACAGCCACAGTCTGAACACCAGTCCCAGGGAGACTCCTGGGGAGCAGGGGGAGCAGGTGCAGAAGACCAAAGAGGTGCAGTCATTTGGGCCCCAGTAGAGCCGATGCCTTCTGCAAAGTGGGCCCAGCCAATGCCCACGATGCCGGGAGAGGAGACCAGCTGGCACTTGGCATCCTTCCTTCACTGCCACCGCATGCTGGTGTTCACCCCTCTCTGGGGCCATGACTTCAGAAATGCAGCTCCTTCAGCTCTTTCCTGCATCTCCCCTCTCTGAAGGGTCACCCATAGAACAAATGTAATGTCTACATGTGATCCTAAGCTCTTTACACATTAGCTCATTTAATCCCCAGAAAGTCTGTGAAGCAAGTACTATTACTGTTTTCATTTTATGGATAAGAAAATCAAGGCAGAGAGAGGTGTAGCAGCAGGCCACGCAGCTAGTAAGCTGCAGAGCTGGAATTTGGGACCTGGTAATCGGACTCTACCATCTCCAATAACAGCATCATCTCAAAACAGATTTTCTTAAGTGAGAGAAATGTCTTGTCTACATAAAATACCAAAAGATAAATGCCAACAAACTATGATAGGTCATGCAGTTATGGTACCTGGCATGGATTTAAGTTTGATTCTATCTTTGAAAACAGTTCCTAACAGTTTCCCTGAATCCGAGTGCTTCTGTCAAGTACCCTTGACCAGCTTGTCTCAGCTCTGAATCTCTTAGCTGGCCGGCCCCCTCTCCAAGTAATATAAATTCTTTGTTTTAGTCCAAGCCACTGTTGGCCCCATCCAGGCCATGTGAATTTCCAACTCCTTCTGTCTCAGTCCAGGCTTAGCTGGACTCCTCTGACCTTCTGAGGAGCCTGGCTACTTGCTATTTCAGTCCACCTCTGAAGCAGTCTAGTTCCTAAAATATCTCCAACCGGCTCCTGCTCAATCTCCCTCCCTTCTCCCCCATGGCAGTTTTAGAAAATACCTTTCTCTGCAACACAAAGCATGCAGTTTCTCTTGGAATAGGCTAAGAGGTACTTCGTTTGCCAGTAGCAATTTAGTTTGGCATTTAACATATTATCGCAGTCTACAAATACATGCAGAACATTGGCCGAACTCTACAGCCTCCAGCCACCATTGTATATATAGAAACTGGCCCTTAAGGGGCTGAAGAAAACAATTCCACTAAAAAAAAATAATTAGCACAATGAGTATCTACAAACTGTATCTTAAATGACAGAAATGTAGGTAGGAAGGTGAAACTGGGCAAAGAGCTCGCGCAGTGCCTTCCCATCCCTGATCTTACCTCCGAGGCGCTGAAGCCCAGAGGGCCTCACCTGCGAGCTCGGGCTCGCAGCTGCAGCTGGGGAGTCTCGGCCTGGTGTGCTGAAGAAAAACGTGTAAGAGCCAGGAGATCCATGCTCAAAATGAGGCCCTGCTAGGCTGGAGGAAGGAGCCACGTATTTTTCAAAGGGAGGCAAGAGATGGTTAGAAGAGGGAAAATGGCATCAGCTGGTGGAAGGACTGAGCGCAACAAGGCACCTCTCAGGCTGCTGGGCAGAAGAATGAGGTGCGGCAGGCATGGTGTGTTGCACAAAGCAGGTGCTCAGTAAACATTCACCCAGCGACTAGGGCAGAGGGCCAGCGACCGGAGCTTTTCTCTTTTCCCATCTGCCATGCTCTTCTCTCCCCAAGGCTTCCAGGCAGCCTTGGGAGGTCCGATTCAGTCAGTCAGCACCAAGGCACCATCCCCAGGAGTCTTTGTAGGCAGGACAGGAGGGCCTGAGACAGGTGGGACCCACACAAAGTGCCCGCATGCCTCCTGAGCCACTCAGGCTACTCCAAAGTCACCCACCTTTGGGCCTGAACTTGATTGGCAACCCCAGTCTGTCCCGCTCTCTGGGTGGGGGTTGGGTGGGGTCCCTTTGGTAAGACCCTCTTCCCCTTGGGCTACACCGTCCTGACAGAATGACCATCCTTTGCTGTGCAGAATGGAATCACGGAGAAGGTGCAGGGCAGTATCGCCACCATGCTGACCCTGGCCTCGTCCCAGGGGGATGGTCTCTACAAGGAGCTGGCAGGTAAGTACATAGAGCCTGTGTGTAAAGGGTGAAGGTGCTCACGCCCCTAGCTGCGGCTGCTCTTTGCTGGATTTAACGAAATAAAGTTAGGAGAAATTTCCAGGGCCAGGAATGGAGATGAGCGTGATGCCTACCCGCCCTCTGGGGAGCACAATAAACCTCCCCTCAGTCCTTTCCCGCCTTCCGTCTGGGCCTTCCTGGGAACCTGTTTAAGATCACACTCAGCCAACTGGGGCTCCTTTAGAGAGCTCCTCTTCACCCCAGTCTCCCAGCTGTCCTCGTACACAGAAGACACTCCCTGAGTTTGATGTAAATTGTTCCTACTGTAATTTAAGACTGTTTCCTTTTCCTCCCATCAGCAGCAAATGTACACTTACATAGGGACTGCTGTGCTGGGGGCCGCTGAGGACTGCACAGTCCCAGCTCGGAGTCCTGCCTGGCTGCTAAGACCAGATACCTAAGGATGTCAGTCACAGTAGTGGGTGGGACACCTTCCCCCAACATGTAATCATAATCACCTCCCAGGTGCGGGTGGCCTTCTAGGTGCTGAGGGTACTCTCTGCTTCATGGAGCTCACAGCCCACGGGGTAGGAAGCAGGCAATAGGCAGAGTCTATGTAGCCCCCCCGAAGGGTGATAAATGCTATGGAGAAAAATGAGCTGGGAAAGGGGAGACGGAGGTGTGGGGAAAGGAATGAGGGGGTCAGGGCCGCTGCCTGGGAATGCGATATTTAAACAAAAACCTGAGGGAAGGGACATAGAGGGCACCAGATGGCTGTTCTTGCAGCTCAGAAGACAGTGGTTATTCAGGGACACTGGAAGCTTCACAGCAGCTGGTCCGGGAGCACAGCCAGATAGGTAGGGTTTCAGAGACCCGAAGACAAGGGAGACCTCCCAGACTCAGGGTTCCGACTCCCTTCCTGGTCATGAGTCCCACGGCTGGTCAGGCTCGGGTGGGGGAGTCTGGGTGACTGTATGCGGTGTGTAGAGCCACGGAGGATCAGAGGCAATCAGGAGGCTGCCAGAGCCGACCCCAAAGCCAGTCTGAAGTGTCTTTCCAAAGAGGACTGTATTTGGTGGAGTTCTCCAGAGAAACAAAAACAATAATATATGTGTATATATATATATAGAGAGAGGAATACATTTTAAGGAATTGGTTCATGTGACTGTGGAGGTTTGGTGAGTCCAAGTCTGATGCGGGAGGCCAGTAGGCTGCAGAGTCCGCGAAGAGCTGCAGTTTGAGGCCACGAGCAGTCCACCGCAGGACGAGGAAGAGCCGGTGTGCAGATGAAGCCTGAAGGCAGTCGGTCTGCTGCGGAATCGCCACTTGTTCCGGAGAGGCCAGCCTGTGTTCTAGTCAGACCTTCAGCTGGTTAGACAAGGCCCACCCACACTGCAGGGAGCCACCTGCTTACTCAAGGTCTACTTATTTAAATGTAAATCTCATCTAAAAGTAAACTCATAGAAACACCCAGAATATATAGCCCAGACAAGTCGACACATGAAACTAAACATCACAGGCTGTACTATGATTGCAGATCATGGGATGAAAACCTAGGTCGCCAAAACAGAGCAAACTCAACCTAGCCTGGGACTTCCGGAAGGAGAGGGACTTGGGGAAGGAGAGGGGTGCCTGGGGAGGACTAAGGGCAGATTTACGTGTGGTGTGCATCGTGTCTCCTTCCATGAGTTCCTGTGAGGCCTCAGTAAAGACCCAGTGACTCCCTAGACCGTTTTTATGGGTAGGTGTGTGCTGCTTCTGAGGGCGACCCTGGACTGAGAGAAACCTTGAAGTAGAGCAAGAATGCCAGGTCATTGATGAAGCCAATCACTCGGACTGTCTGATCGCTAAGCTCCATTCCAGATCTCACCCAGGCCATAACAGGAATCTCAGGCATTTGTTTTAGGGGGCTATTTCTGAAAAGGACACTAACTCCCGATGCACATGCTTTCTGCTCTTCTGTAGATGTCAAAAGCGAATACAGGGAGATGGAGAGGCTGCACAGAAGCCTGAGGGAGGTCGCTGAAAACGCAGTGCTGCGGCGAGGCATGCAAGACTTCCTTCTGCGGATGTCCCCCAGCAAAGTTGGCCCCCACAAGACGTAAATTTAATTCTTGGGGCTTAGCACCCAGTAGATGAAACACAAGCCTGGACCAAATAGTCATAATGACTTCGGTTTTTAAAAACCGAATAAAGAGTATCTCCCAAGTGTTTGGGCTTTATACGCAATATAAAACTCAACATGTTGTTACTTCTGGCATAACCTGATTGCTGAACAACATCATTCTATTTTTAATTCTATAGCCCAAGAGAGTCATCTTGAATCCCTAATGGAATTTCTAAAGTTTAGGGGCAAGAAACCCATGCTTCACCAAAGGAAAATATCTTAACATTGAAAAACAAATATTTTTGGAGAAAGACCATTGCAAAATAAAGCTTTAGGGACCCAATTCTATTTCCCATTTTAATACTGGTAAGATTTGGGGTGAGGAGGTAATGCATCATGGAAGCGACTTAGGTTTGAGAGCTGGACCGACAAGACCCGGCTTTCTACTTCTCAGGAGTGTTAGTTAAGATCTTAACCCTTTTGATGTCAGGACTCTACCCTCTTAAAAATTAGTGAGGGCCCTAAAGAACTTTTATTTTTGTGGGTTGTATGTATTGACACTGTATTAAAAATTAAAACTGAGAAAAATTGTAAATAATTATTTACTAACTCATATAAAATAAACCCATTACGTGTTAATATAAATATGTTTTTATAAAAAAAAACTTTCAAAAAAGTTTAGTGAGAATGACATTATTTTATACTTTTGCAAATCTCTTTAATATAAGATAACTGAATTCTTTGTTTCTGTATTCAGTCTGTTACAGTATCTTTTTGGTTGGTGTATATGAAGAAATACAGCCTCACACAGATACAGAGTTGGAATACGGAAGAGTATTTTAATAGCCTTTTCAGGTAGTTTACGGATATTCTTTGGTACGACAGCCTTGACAGGTGGTAGTTCCTTAAAGATTGGTTGCAGTGTGGAATCTGAAACCATATTAGTGAATTCTTTTCATATTCTCTTACTGTACATACATTTCTATCTCATACTCTGAATGTATCTTTTACCAATAGCTGATTTTGTAATATCAGATTGGTGAGTCCAAGTCTGATGCGGGAGGCCAGTAGGCTGCAGAGTCCGCGAAGAGCTGCAGTTTGAGGCCACGAGCAGTCCACCGCAGGACGAGGAAGAGCCGGTGTGCAGATGAAGCCTGAAGGCAGTCGGTCTGCTGCGGAATCGCCACTTGTTCCGGAGAGGCCAGCCTGTGTTCTAGTCAGACCTTCAGCTGGTTAGACAAGGCCCACCCACACTGCAGGGAGCCACCTGCTTACTCAAGGTCTACTTATTTAAATGTAAATCTCATCTAAAAGTAAACTCATAGAAACACCCAGAATATATAGCCCAGACAAGTCGACACATGAAACTAAACATCACAGGCTGTACTATGATTGCAGATCATGGGATGAAAACCTAGGTCGCCAAAACAGAGCAAACTCAACCTAGCCTGGGACTTCCGGAAGGAGAGGGACTTGGGGAAGGAGAGGGGTGCCTGGGGAGGACTAAGGGCAGATTTACGTGTGGTGTGCATCGTGTCTCCTTCCATGAGTTCCTGTGAGGCCTCAGTAAAGACCCAGTGACTCCCTAGACCGTTTTTATGGGTAGGTGTGTGCTGCTTCTGAGGGCGACCCTGGACTGAGAGAAACCTTGAAGTAGAGCAAGAATGCCAGGTCATTGATGAAGCCAATCACTCGGACTGTCTGATCGCTAAGCTCCATTCCAGATCTCACCCAGGCCATAACAGGAATCTCAGGCATTTGTTTTAGGGGGCTATTTCTGAAAAGGACACTAACTCCCGATGCACATGCTTTCTGCTCTTCTGTAGATGTCAAAAGCGAATACAGGGAGATGGAGAGGCTGCACAGAAGCCTGAGGGAGGTCGCTGAAAACGCAGTGCTGCGGCGAGGCATGCAAGACTTCCTTCTGCGGATGTCCCCCAGCAAAGTTGGCCCCCACAGGACGTAAATTTAATTCTTGGGGCTTAGCACCCAGTAGATGAAACACAAGCCTGGACCAAATAGTCATAATGACTTCGGTTTTTAAAAACCGAATAAAGAGTATCTCCCAAGTGTTTGGGCTTTATACGCAATATAAAACTCAACATGTTGTTACTTCTGGCATAACCTGATTGCTGAACAACATCATTCTATTTTTAATTCTATAGCCCAAGAGAGTCATCTTGAATCCCTAATGGAATTTCTAAAGTTTAGGGGCAAGAAACCCATGCTTCACCAAAGGAAAATATCTTAACATTGAAAAACAAATATTTTTGGAGAAAGACCATTGCAAAATAAAGCTTTAGGGACCCAATTCTATTTCCCATTTTAATACTGGTAAGATTTGGGGTGAGGAGGTAATGTATCATGGAAGCGACTTAGGTTTGAGAGCTGGACCGACAAGACCCGGCTTTCTACTTCTCAGGAGTGTTAGTTAAGATCTTAACCCTTTTGATGTCAGGACTCTACCCTCTTAAAAATTAGTGAGGGCCCTAAAGAACTTTTATTTTTGTGGGTTGTATGTATTGACACTGTATTAAAAATTAAAACTGAGAAAAATTGTAAATAATTATTTACTAACTCATATAAAATAAACCCATTACGTGTTAATATAAATATGTTTTTATTAAAAAAAACTTTCAAAAAAGTTTAGTGAGAATGACATTATTTTATACTTTTGCAAATCTCTTTAATATAAGATAACTGAATTCTTTGTTTCTGTATTCAGTCTGTTACAGTATCTTTTTGGTTGGTGTATATGAAGAAATACAGCCTCACACAGATACAGAGTTGGAATACGGAAGAGTATTTTAATAGCCTTTTCAGGTAGTTTACGGATATTCTTTGGTACGACAGCCTTGACAGGTGGTAGTTCCTTAAAGATTGGTTGCAGTGTGGAATCTGAAACCATATTAGTGAATTCTTTTCATATTCTCTTACTGTACATACATTTCTATCTCATACTCTGAATGTATCTTTTACCAATAGCTGATTTTGTAATATCAGGCTTTGGAGATTCTGAAAATACTTGTTCACTGACATTCAACAAAAATATTTTTTTTGCGTTCTTCTGCATTCCAACTGAATTCCCCTAAGTAGTATGAATTCGTGCTGGATGACTTTCTTCTATTTAAATACCACGTCAGAAGGCGGTATATCCTCCCTTCTCTCTGCCACAGAGTTTAATCTGATTAGGGACCAAGAGAAAATTGATAATGATCCATAAAATCTAAACAAGACTGTGTTCTAGCTCCCTCTGCAATAAAACCACTTGAAATCTCTATTTAAAAATTGCACTGCATAGTCTATATGAAAGTTCTTTCATTTATTTTTCTCCCAGGAAGAAACAAGTGGGCTCTTGCTGCTGGGAAGGGGACAAGTTATAGGACCATGATCTTCCTCTTTTGGCATCACCTAGGGGAAAAGGCAGATTTTGCTTCAAGCTAGGAGATAAGAAAACATATAGAGCTGGTGGGAAGGAAGTTGGTGACTATTGCCTGGGAGACAAAGCCCAAGGCAGTTAATTCCTCTCTCTCTCTCTCAGAAATCAAAAACTGTAGTAGAAAGACATTTTAAAAAGCCTGGTGTAATTGTTGAAACTCTGGAACCAGCTCTGTTTGAGAATTCCTACTCAAGCCCAGATTGGGTGGTAGCAGTACTCGATAACAAATAATTATTGTATTTAGGCATCTATTTCTTTACATCGTACTGAGGCTGTTCAGTTTTTATAATTTTGATAATGGTATTTATTTACTCTGTTTGGGTATACTTCAGGGCATAATTCTCAACCTCGGTTGCACTTTTGAACCATCTGGGGAACTTTTTACAATTCCTTTGCCCAAGTGGGTCACACTTGACACACCAATTTAATCAGGCATACTGAGTATTTTTAAAAATCATTGCTCTATGGTAGGACAAATGTGGTTCTAGAACTTCTTCTATTTTATTATAAAAAAGTGGTAGAAGGAAGTAGAAGGGATTCGAGTTCTTCCCCCAACAGGAGAGCCCTTGCTACGTCTCCAAGTCTCAGAAACTGCCTTCATTTGGGGACACTGGGATGAGAAACTGGAAAATGATCTAAACAAAAGTATGATACAGCTGTACGAGGAGAAGCAGGAAAGGAGTGTGTGTGCAGTGGGATAGAGTCAAGATAGCTGATTCTTTTTTCCACAGTGGTAACGGATCATCCATTTAAAGAGCCCAAGATAGAAGTATAACTGTTAGAAATGTGGAAATACATATAAAAAGTAAGGGTAGAAGATGGGTGTCTGTGAGATTAGGATATGGGTCTGAAAGGTTAGGGAGCTATTGCTTTTATAATACAGCTGGAGCTGTTTGATTCTTTTAAAAGATTATTAAAATGTGTGCATATCTTTGATACAGCTCTATAGTGCAAAATGAAAACCCTTGTTTTCCACTAGCCATGGCGTGTATCATGCTTCGGAAAGGAGGAAAAAGAAAGAAAACATTGTATCACTTCATGTTCTCTCAGATTTCTTCACTCTGATTCTTCCTCTCGGTTTCCATTTATTGGCCTTGTTTTCCTCTCTTTCACTCCATCATTATTTCTAAATTTCTCTTTGTCTTTTTTCCTTTTTCTTTCTTTCTGGCATAATATACTGCTGAACTATCTTTATTATTATTACTTATTAAATTTATTAAAATAATGTTTCCTATTCTTAGTTCTTCATAAAAAACACATGCATGGAATGTTCTTTCTCCCCTGCAGCCAAAGCAATAAAGCAGCAAAATCAGTTACTTTTTAGATTCTTTTAAAAGATTATTAAAATGTGTGCATATCTTTGATACAGCTCTATAGTGCGAAATGAAAACCCCTGTTTTCCACTAGCCATGGCGTGTATCATGCTTCGGAAAGGAGGAAAAAGAAAGAAAACATTGTTACTAATCTAAGTTACTTTTTATCAAGGTGGAGAAATTTTTGTATAAAGGCTTTCTTCGACTTGGGAGAGGTACCAGAGGTCACTCGGTCCAACAGGCCACCTGATGTAGGGGACCCCTTTATGGAATTTCTGTTTGGCACAGATTCTTCAGGTTCTGATGAAACAGTGTTAATGTGGGGGAATTTTCAGTCATCAGCCAGGACACCTAGATCCAGATAGCTCAGTTGTGAATAAGAGCTTCTGTATGTTGAGTGGGAATCTGCCTCTGTTTTTAGAATAGTTAAAAAAAATAAAAAATAGAAACCTAACACCACTTCCCATGACAGCCCTTGATATGTCTGCAAACAGAAATCATGTCCCCATAAGTGGTTTCTGCCCTGAGCTAACCACCGCTCTTTCCTGTTGGTTTCTGGATCCTTTGCAACCCTCGTCACCCCCTATGGGGCCCTCTAAGCTGTGACTTAATCTTCCAGTCGGAGGCACCCAGAACTGCATATGCTTTACCAGGGGTGAGCTCATTCATGCCGACTACAGACCTGTCACTTCTATTTTTCTGCTCACCATGCGTCTGTTAATGCAGCCTAAGTTTTATAATAGCTATTTCTCTCACCTCTTCCTGACTTACGTCAACCTCAAAGTCATGTAAAATCTTAGGTTCTCTCTTATGTACCCCTGAGAAGCCTGTGATCCTATATCTTGTATGTGGGCAGATGAGTTTTCCCAACATTGCGGTCTGTTTTGCATTTATCCCGCTTCTGAGTTTTGGCCCAAATTCTCACCCTGTTCTGAGAAGTTTCTTATGATTCACTTGAATGAACATGTTTGGCTACCAATTACAAATTGCTCACATTAAAATTACTTCATCACCCAATTCCCAAACAAAATTTACATCATCTCAGCTCCGAGATGTGTTCCCTTGGAGTCCCTCACTATATGACCCAGTCTGGGTACCGTGGGCCATTGAATTTAACAAGAGAAGGAGGTCCAGGCACGTCCTGCCCTTGGGTCTCTGGCCCATGCACATGACAGGGACAGGTCACAATGCCTTCACTGCCTACAACCCTGGACCAGTATCAGAAAACCTGAGCTGTCTCGTGCAATCCATTATCCCCACACCTTCTGGG